GAAACCACAACTAATATTGTGAAAGCCTCAGGAATTGGTGCAGTAGCTATTAGGGACTTATTTCCCCCCACAAAAATAGACAAATCAAAAACCTCACCAATTCAACTCAAGGAGATTATTAATATGTGAAGTTAATTTTGCAAGATAATCCATATCTTTATACAAAAGCACAGGTTTAATTGCAAACAGTGGCATTCCTGGCTTCCAGGGTTGCATGTACTATTCAGAAATGTAGCCATTCTAAAGTGCTGATGACCCTGTCAATTATCATGCATACAGGTTATGATAAAGTAACAAATGCACTGTGTAATTAAGTGACAGTAAGAGCAGTTTCCAACTCAGAATGTTGTTATCAGCTAGTCACTACATAAAAGAAAACATAATCCTTCATTTTCTACCTTACCAGAGATAAAGATGAACATGGTATTTTCTCTTTGTAAGTTTTAGATTTTCCCTTGGCTGCAGACTGGCACTACACACGCCCCCCCCCCCCCCTCAGGTTATCTGAGAGGTCACATGACAGTACCTCATTGTCATGTGATCTGGCATTGTCATGTGATCTGGGGCAAAGAGAATGGAAAGTGCTTCTTTGTATGCACATTCTTCCATGGGTAGATGGCCAGTTTCCCCAAGTGTTTTTGATATTTGAACTTGAATATGAAAACATTGCTTTCTAATTCTAGCTCCAGCTTAGATTGTCTGTGGCTCTTCCAGTTGTTCTGGAAAATCAAAGTATGTTTTCCTTCCTCAGAGGTGTTGGCAAGTCAGGATTCATAAAACACTTTGATGACAAGCCACAAGGCCATGAAGCATTGTGGTCAAGAGCCAGGCTTTGGAAACAGACCAAGCTAGGTTTATATGTCTTCTCTGCCATTTATTGTGTCCTTGGACAAGTGTGTAAACCTCCAGTCCTTAGCTTCCTCATCTGTAAAATAAGAGTAATATAATGGTTATGTCATAAGACTGATGTCAAGATTAAGTGAGCTGATATATGCAAAATGTAATAACATGCTCCTGATAAATAGCAGTTATTATTCTTTTGTATACGTATGTGTACAAGAGTTACCAATAGATAACTGCCATATTTACTGATAAATGCAATTAATTGAGATTCAGTGTCAATCTAAAAGTGGGAACCTAACAATCTCAAAATATCGTAGGCCATTTAACTGCTAAGATGTGAAAACTGTTTTTCATCCTGGGATTTTACATATCTGTTCTCCTTAAACACAGTTCCCAAGGATGGCCTCAAAAGCCAAGCTGCATTTGAAGAAATGAGGACAAATTACATCAAAGAGCTGAGGAAGATGGTAACTAAGTGTCCCAACAATTCTGGGCAGAGTTGGCAGAGGTTCTATCAACTGACCAAGCTTCTGGACTCCATGCATGATGTGAGTATTGTCCTTTGATGCCTCTTCAATGAAGGGTCAGCAACCACACACTGTTCTCCAAATGAAGTAGGAGAGTGGAGAAAGTTCTTGGGACTTGGGAAGAGTAAAGGTCTGTTATCGAGTGCGAGGCAGCAGGAGGTGAGAGCTGACCAGGAAAGAAATTTTCCTCCAGGTCACGTTTGTAACAAACCTCCTTTCAAGCCAAGGGTGTGGCTTTCCCTGGGAGCAGGACCAGAGGTACGTGCGCCACCAGGGCAGAACCCGTGTCCCGGCCCGGGGTCGGGTCAAGTTTCACATTTCTGTGAGCGACTTAGGAAATGTTTGGTTAGTAGACCTGTTTGCTTTCACATTGCTGTGTCCATCTTCTACAACTGTTAATCTAATAACCCAATCTTTTAAAAACATTATTAGTGGTCCAGGGCCAGCATGGATCATCTCAACCTTTGCCAAATTTTGAATCCTATATTCACTGTTCTTCATAGGAGTCACCTTTCTTGTCTTAATGTAAATACAGAAAGCAAATTCTGAGATTGTTTTTTCTAACTTAACCAGTTATAGATGCAGCTGAGGTAGTGGTTCTCAACCTTCCCAATGCCACGACCCTTTAATACAGTTAGTTCCTCATTTGTGGTGACCCCCAACCATAAAATTATTTTCGTTGCTACTTCATAACTGTAATTTTGCTACTGTTATGAATTGTAATGTAAATATCTGAAATGCTCTATGTGTTTTCCGATGGTCGAGACCCAGAGGTTGAGAACCGCTGGTAGAGGTTTCTACAAAAGATTGATTTGAATTACTTGCTTTATGTCATTTAAAATGTGCTTCTTGTTTCACTTTGTGTCTTCTCCCATTCTGGCTCAAAAAAAGGAAGTTGTATACAGTCATGCTAATTTAGTTTTTCACGTTTATGAGGTTTTCATACTTTTGGGAGGTAAACTGTATCACCCAAGATTTGCATAAGAAATTCATCTTCAAATATTTCTCTGTTGAGGAAAATGTTGCAGGCTTGATGACTAATATTAGTATTTCTTTTGAAGTAATGGTTCATCCTTTAGAAATCTGTTTATGCCAGTGGAACCTTATCTCTGCAGGTTCTTTGATAAAAGAATGTCACTTTGCAGTATTTTGCATGGAAAACCCATTGCCTATCAGGTTGACCTTTGCTTTCTCTGAACTTTTCGTATGGTCTCAGTCAGATGACCAGCAAGTGAATTCAGGGATGGATAGTTCTGCTGATTACCAGTGTCCTAAAGTGTGTGCTTTACTGGGAAATGAAGAGTAAGAGAGGATGGCAAACAGGCTTTTGGGGGACACAGCAAAGGACATGAGGGAAGCAGAGCATGGATACAGACCATCTGAGAACAAGGGCACAGTTACTTCCTCCTGGTGGTTGTGTCAAAATCCTTCTGAATGGAGCTTAGAATGGGGCTTTGTGGTTCTTTCTTGATGAATTCTCTTGTTTGTTCAAATGTACGGGCAGGCACAAGTGCAGTATCAAAATGAGTATACAAGTGTCATCACAACGTATGACAATAGATGTGTTTTGAAGCAACTTGCATGTAATATAACAGAAGTTACAACTTTTTTCCAACAGCCTTTCAGAATCTTTATGCCTTTAGCAGAGCAGCACAGTGAAAACACTTAGGGGCCAGCCCAGGGCTCCATGTGTCAGTCCATCCTCTGCCAGCTGCTTGTGTGAGCCAGCACAGTGCTGGCCACCAGATAGGAACTCAAGTTGCCAAGTGGCTATATTCTAACTGATGATCTTCTGCAAAATCCCCCAGGGCAAATCATTGTCCTTTTAGTATTTTTTAATCAAGGTATAATTGATACACAATAAGGTGAACATATTTAAAGTGTACCATATGAGACGTTTGACCCATATATTCACCAAGACAACAAACGTGTCTATCACCCCAAAACTTTCCTTGTGCACCTTTTTAACCTTTCTTCCTACCTACTGCTCCCTATTTGCTTTCTGGCAATGTAAATTCATTTATATATTCTGGAGTTCATATAATGTACTCGTTCATATATTCTAGACCTTCATACACATGGAATCATGCAGTATGTAGTCTTTTCTGCCTGGCTTCCTTCATTTAACATGATTATTTTGAGATCCATCCATCCTATTGCATACGTTAGTATTTAGTTCTCACTTTGTTGCGTAGCACCCATGGCACAGATATTCCACATTTTGGTAGTCCAGTCACCCATGGGTGGGAGTGTGGGTTGTTCCCAGATTACAGAGAAAGCTGCACTGAACATGTGTGTGCAAGTCCTGAAATGGACATCACTCTCTTTTTCTTGGGTGAATCGCTGGTAGTGGAATGCCTGGGTCATATAGGCAATGTGTTCCCATTTTTTATGAGACTGCCAAACTCCTTTCCAGAGTCGTCGTACAATGAATCGTACATTCCCTTGACAAGTGAGTTCATATTGCTCCACATCCTTGCTAACACTCGGTAAGATTAGTCTTCCTAGTTGTAGCCATCGCAATAACTGTGTGGTGGTGTCTCACTGTGGTTTTAATTTGCATTTCCCTGGTGACAAATGATCTCGTCATGTGCTTACTTACTGTCGTTATTTCTTCTTTGGTGTAGTGTCTGTTCAGCCCTTTGGCTCATTTGAAAAAAAGAATTGCTTGTTTTCAATTAGAATGTTGAGTTCCTATAGTGTAGGTAGAATTCCTTTATAAGATATGTGATTTGCAGTCTGTGCTTCTCTTTTCATTCTTTTAGCAATGTCATTGGAAGAGCAGTTTTCCATCTGAATGAAGCCCAATTGATTATTTTTTCTTTTATGAGCCATGTTTTGGTGGTGTATCTAAGGAATCCTTGTCTAAGCCAGTGTCACAAAGCTTTGATCCCAGATTTTCTCCTAGAGATTGTCCTCTAGTGACTGATGTGTAGCTTGAAAAGCATTTTTTCTGAGTTTTGGTTGTTTCTGGTGGCAGGTAAAGCCAGTCCTTCCTACTCCATTTGTCTGGAAAGAGAATACTCTTTGGGGAATCATTTTAATTCTAAAACCTTTATTTTAAATTATAAAAAATGTTTGCTCTTAGAAGTAGCCTAACAGGAGCATCTTGAAAGTTCTATTTATATTCCTACTCCAGACAGAACATTGAAAAATGCATTGTAAGCCCAGAGGGACCTTTCTAACATTCGCGCTTACACAGACCTGAGACTGCCTCTGGCTTTTCATTAGAGGAAATCAGTGAGTCAGCATTTGTGGATTCTCTTCCAGGGAACAAAGGGCTGCAGGAGGACCAGCTCTGTGTATAGAGTGAGTCCTGCTCACTTCAGAAAAAGAGCGTTTGTTCCTAGGAGCACCACAAATAGGAACCCTGTGGACGTAAATCTAAGTGCTTTAAAAGGCAGCACACTAGGCCACCCTTCAGGACACACGTCGGTAGATCTCGGACTTGTCCTACACGGTGCACACATGTGTGGGCAGAACTGTGCCATGGGGAGTGAAAACAGCATTCTCTGAAGGAACAGGTTGGCAGTTGAGTATTTGAATTGGTCAGCAACTTTAATGAATCATAAGCCCTCTGAGCATCTATTTCCCGCCCCACCCCCCCCCCCCCCAAAAAAAAACAGTTTCAAAGAAGCAGCTGTGGTCGGGCTTCTAGGGGTGGATGTATTTTTGCATTGCAAGTGTTAACTGCTGTTTGATAGTGGCACATGTGGTTTGGTTTGCATTTCCCTAAGATTTGTGGTGTTCAATATCTTTACATGTGTTTACTGGCCATCTGAATATGTCATCTTTGGAGAATTGTCTACTCAAGTTCTTGGCCCATATTTTTGTTTTTATATATGTTCTGGATATTAACTCCTTATCTAATATATGATTTGCAAACATTTTCTCCCATTTCGTGACTTTTGTTTTAGTGTCAAAATCTTCTCTTCTGAACTTATAACTTCTTTGACTTCATTATTAATGAATGTTTCGTACACTGCACATCTACAGAACGTTGCCATTCATTGTTCATAGCCAGTTTCTCAAATCTGTCAGAGAATAACTTTCTATGAGAATGGTGGGGGAAACTAGGACCTGGCCTTGTTTGGGGAGGTATAAAGGAATTGTGCATTCCATTCCCACCTGAATCTTTGGGATTTATGATGCCACAGGGTGAGCTTTGTGAGGGAAAAAATACCCTGTAGAAAGAAGCACTGAGGGTCCTGGAAGCTCGCTCATAGAAAATCACATCTAAATCTAAGCTGACACATAGGAATCTCTCTCTCATCTGAAATGTATCTAGGGAAGATTTTGGAAAACTATCTCATTGTCTAACACCTGTGTCAATAAATCCCTCCCTCTTATGCTGCCTAAATCCCTCTTCTTACAATATAAAATAACCATATAATGCCTGGGGTTTACCTAGTGCCTTTCTTCCTAAGTCCCATCATTGAATCCTTCTAATATCTCCATGTGGTAAGGATGAGTAAATATTACTATTTACACTTCATCACCTCATCTTAATTCCTTTCTCTATAAAAGAGGAATAATAATATTTACTCCTTTTTTTACCCTTTAATGGAGAAAAGAACTAAGGCAGGGAGTGATTAAGTGCATTTTCCCTGGTTCCTAAGGGAGGCGGGAGCAGAAGGCAGGAATGGAGAGGACGCAGCACCTGTGAGAGGCATCTGTGCATAGCCAGCCCTGCACCTGGTTAGCTCCTGGGCTGCTGGTAGGTGAGGCAAGGTGTCACTTTAGCGTCCCACACGTACTGGTAGAAGGGTCTCACTCTTAAGCTTCCTGTTCCGCTGTCTCCATCTTGAGGTCCTTCATAAACTCTGAACAAGGGGCTCCACTAAGTAAAGTCGTGTAGCTCAGAGGGCATGACGAGTGGGAGAGCAGCACCTGTGGCAGCCGGTGCGGATGTGGCCATGGACCTTGCAGGGATGGAAGGCAGAAGCCTCAGTGGAGCAGGGTGTCCAATCGAAGGAAACCGGAGACTGGTCCACACGCTCGAAAGGAGCCTTAAACCTCAGGTCTAATTTAATACAAAAAGAAATAGTGAAGAAATTTCTTAAGGGACACAGACATTGTTAATCAACAGAAAAGAGGAACGTTATTATCAGTGCCATTTTGGACGAGGGCAGATCCTATGAAATGACTGACATTGAAGATGCCAGTTGATCAAGGTCATGGTTAAAGGGAGTAGAAAGTGTATATAGCTTCACACACAGTCGATCATTATTTGCAGATTCTGTATTTTCGAGTTTGCCTACTAGTTAAAATTGTATCCTCCAGCCCTGGCCGGTGTTGCTCAAGAGTTAGAGCATGAGCCTACACACACACGGGAGGGTCACGGGTTCAATTCCCAGTCAAGGGCATGTACTTGCAGGCTCGATCCCAGGCACCTGTACATGCGGGAGGCTACCAATCCAATCGATGTGTCTCTCTCTCCCCCTCCCTTCCACTCTCTCCCAAAAAACAATGGAAAAAAAATCCTCAGGTGAGGACTAACAAAAACATTTAAAATACTTGTAACCCGCACCCCCCAAATCAATACTCTCAGCACTTTCACAGGCATGAGCAGAGTAATAAATTGAGTCATGTTCCCAATGAAGGTCAAGCAAGGTGACATTCTCCCTTCTTGTTTCAGCTCATACAGTAAATAAGTGTGCTTTTCATGATCTACTTGGTAACACATTTCTTGCATTTTTGTTAGTGATGTTGCTGTTTAAAATTGTCCCCAAATGTAGTGCTCATACACTGTCTTGTGTTCTTAAGGGCAGGAGGCAGTGATGTGCTTCATGGAGAAAGTAAGTGTTCAGTAAGCTTTGTTCAGGCATGCGGTATAGTGCTGTTGAATGTGAGTTCAATGTTAAGGAGTCAGCAGTGTACATTAAATAAGGAGTCTTTAAACAGAAATACACATAAAACAAGGTTAAGTAGAGATCGTTTTATGAAAATGTCATGATCAGTAGCTCATGGAAACCTAGCTCCATATTTTCCCTAGGAGTGAAGGTTCAGTGTTTGGAATTCACTGTTCCCAATGACTTTATGGACAATGAGAGTCAGCTGTAAATGGGTATGATCTGCAGGGGCTATAGGATCAAAGGGAAATGGCTCCTGAGGGCACAGTCAGAAATGGGAGGCGTAAATGATGGCAACTCTCCCTTTGAATGACAGATTCTAAAGCCTGTAAGCTAGACAACCCCCTTATCTAGCTCAGCCCCTGTACAAGGGTTCTCCTGAAAGCATTTCCTAAAGGCTCAGAGAAATGTATAATATTTGGAAAGCCAGATCTAGCTGGTGCCGTATGTCCTGATTCACAGACTTAAATCAGGAGACATCGTATACTTGATTTATATATTTTAATAAACAACCACAACCTCATTAAATCCATGGCATGCCTTCCAATCCAGGAGCCAGCAGATGTTTTTCCCTAAAAGGCCACGTCGAAAGTACTGTAGGTTCTGTGGGTCCTGTGATCCTTGTCACAACAACGTGGCTCTGCCCTTGTAGTCTGAAAGCAACCACGGATAATAGCTAAATGAATGAGCACGGCTGCGTCCCAGTAAAACTATTTCATACAATTTCCACGTCACAAAATATTCTTTTGATTTTTTCCCCCAACCATTTAAAAGTGCACAGAAACGTTCCTTGGGCCAGATTTGGCCTGCAGGCCATAGATTGCCAACCGATTCATTCAATGGCATCATTGAATCACAGGAGTGAACTTGGTCACCTTGGTGTCAGGGCCTTGGATCAGCAGAGGCTGCCCTTGGCCAGTGTGGCTGCCCCTGGTTGCTGCGTGTTCCTCTTCTGTTTGAGACTGACATAAGGATTTAACTGCTCAATCTTGATTAAACCTGATATTAGAGTTGGTAACTTAGGAATATGAATTGGTTTAGATTTTTACGTTGGTTGGTGTAGTGTGCTTTTGCAAGAAGGATCTAGGAAATATTGAAAACAAAATTGGAAAAAGTTCATACTTCTATATACAGTAACATGCCAATGCATTTCAAACACAACCCTTTCATTAGAATTCCTTTGTGCAGCCATGTTCTAATTATCCCTTTATCTTGAAACTCTACTTTCTTCTTCTCCATTGTGTCATTTTTCTTTGTGTTTTTCACACATACAATAGACCTTATTCACAAGAAGGCGGAGCTGCAATCTAGAACGAGGCTTGTAATACAAGGAAACTTACACAGAGTAGGAATTAAATAAATTTGAGTACAAAAAAAAAATCAGAAGGGAAATGAATCCATCTTGCTTAGCACAGCATCCCAACAACATACTTTGAAGATTAAATATTCATCACTGACCAGATATCAATGATTGGTTTTTGAATGTATTATAAAAACGGCGAAGAAGAAATTAAAATGTGACATCTCAGATAAGTAGATGCTAATGGATGGAAATGCCCTTGGTTTTTCATGAGATGTTGAGTAGCGCCCTGTCTCAACCCAGAACCACTGCCTCAGGCAGTCTCTCTGGAAACAGGTACATTCTGGCCTGCAGCCCTGGCTTTGGCCACACTCACTGGGGTTCCCCTTACCTAGAATTTGCAGGCAGAGCTCACAGCCCAGCCCTGTTGAGTCCAGATGGCCCCTGCCCATGCAGACTGGTCCTTGGCAGAGGAGGGCAGCCTTTTTAAAAGGGGGCATCAACAAAAGATTCCCCCTTCTCAATGGTGACTGTGCTATCCCAGAGCTCCCAAGCATCCTGCTAAGCTTCCCACAGCTTGTAAAGGCCTCAAATTACACTGACACACTAGCATAGCTCACCTGTTAAGCTTTGGGCTATGAAATGTCTTTTGACGAATGTTTGAAAACTAGTCTTCTAGATATTTTTCTGATGGTAACTTCCTTTACCAAATATAATTGACATATAAAGCATGTACATTCAAGGTGTACAACATCTTGCTTTGATACAATTATATATTGCAATATGATTACCACTGTAGCATCTCTATCACGTCACATAATTATCTTTTCTTTTTGGTGGTGGGAACAAGAAAGATCTAGTCTCTTAGCATCTCTAAAACTGATAATATAGTACTGTTGTCTGTAAACCTAGGACTTGTTTGCAAGGTTATAACTTCAATATCTCCCTACCCCCCTAACCCCCGGTAACTACCATTCTGCTGTTCTTATGAGTTTGGCTTTTTTGGTTCCACATATAAGTGGTATTTGTCTTTTTCTGTCTGACTTCTCTCACTTACCATACAACTTTCCAGTCCATCCATGTTGTTGCAAATGTTCTTTCTCTTGGCTGAATAGTATTCTACTGATGGACACTTAGGTTGTTTCTATGTCTTGGCTACTGTGAATAATGTAATGAACATGATAGTGCAGGTATCTCTTCAATAGCCTGTGTTCATTTCCTTTGGACACAGACCCAAGAGTGGAGTTGCTGGATCATATAGTGCTTCAATCAATTTTTAATATTAGGAATCTCTACTTTCCATAATGGCTGAACCAATTTACATTCCCACCAACAGTGCACAAGGATTCTATTTCTCCACATCCTTACCAACACTTATTTCTTATCTTGATGGCAGCCATTCTAACAGGTATGAGGTGATACCACATTGTGGTTTTGACTTGCATTTCCCGGATGATTAGTAATGTTAAGCATCTCTTCATGTACCTGTTGGCCATCTGTATATCTTCTTTGGGAAAATATTCAATTCCTCTATTTTTTAATTGGATTATTTATTAGTGAGATGTATGAGTTCATTATATATTTTGAATATTAACCCCTTCACCAATATATAGTTTGCAAATATTTCCTCCCATTCTGTACATTGCCTTTTCATTATTTTATTGTTTATTTTGCTCATAGAAGCTTTCATTTTAATGTAGTTCTACTAGTTGAATTTGCTTTTGTGCCTTACCTGGCTTTGGTATCAGGGTAATGCTGGCCTCATATAATGAGTTTTGATGTGTTCCCTTTTCTTCAGTTTTTTGGAAGAGTTTGAAAAGGATTGATGTTAATTATTCTTTAAATATTTAGTAGAATTCACCAGTGGAGCACCTGGTCCTAGGGTTGTGAATATCGATTTGAATCTTCTTATTCATTATTGGTCTGTTCAGATTTTCTATTTTTTCCTGATTAGGTCTTGGCATGTTGGTATATTTTATTTAATTCTTTATTATTTAAAGTATTACATAAGTCTCCTTTTTCACCCATTGACCTCTCCCCAGCTGCCCCAAACCCAGTCTGTGTCCATTGGTTATGCTCATATGCATGCATACAAGTCCTTTAGTTGATCTCTTACCCCCTCACCCCTCGCCTTCCCTCATAGGTTGGACAGTCTGTTCAATGCTTCAATGACTCTGGTTCTATTTTTGCTCATCAGTTTATGTTGTTCATTAGGAATTTATCCATTTCGTATAAGTTATCCAATTTGTTAGCTTCTCACTATTCCTAGTCTCTTATGATCCTTTGCATTTCTATAGTATCAGTTGTAATGTCTCCTTTTTCATTTCTGATTTTATTTGTCTTTTTTTTTCATGGTCTAGCCAAAGATTTGCTTTTTCCTGGTATCTATTTATTTTGTTCCCACTCTGTTCTTTGTTATTTCCTTCCTTCTACTAACTTTAGGCTTAATTTGTTGTTCTTTTTCTAGTTCTGAAGGTGTAAAGTTAGGTTGTTTATTTGAGACCTTTCTATTTCTTAATATATGCACTTATCACTATAAAATTCCCTCTCAGAACTGCTTTTGCAGCATCCCATAGGTTTTGGTATGTTGTGTTTTCATTTGTTTTGAGATGGTTTATTTTCCTTTAGATGTCTTCTTTGACCAACTGATTGTTCAGAAGTATGTTTAATTTCCACATGTATGTAGATTTTCCAGCTTTCCTCCTGTTGGTTTCTAGTTTCATACCATTGTGGCCAGAAAAGATGTTTTCTGTAGTTTACATCTTTTTATTTTTTACTAAGACTTGTTTTAGGTGTATGTTCTGTCATGGAGAATGTTCTGATGTACTTGAGAAGAATGTGTATTCTGCTCCTGTTGGGTTGGAATGTTCTATACATATCTGTTAGGTCCATTTGGACTAATGTATGGTCCGATGTCTCCTTGTTGATGTGCTGTCTGGATGAAAGTGAGGTATTAAAGTCCCCAACTAATACTATATCGTCTGTTTCTCCCAGTTCTGTTACATATGATTGCTTTGAATTCATTTTCTTGATGAATTGTCCCCTTTACTATTATATACTGACCTTGTCTCTTATTACCATTTTTGGATTAAAGTTTGTCTGAGTATATTTACCTCACCTTCTATGGAATGTCTTGTTCCGTTCCTTCACTTGGAGCCTATGGATGTCCTTAAAGCCGAAGTGAGTCTCTTGTAGGCAACATATACTTGTAGTTTTGGTTCTTGCTTTTTTTTTAAAAATCACCCAGCAGCTCTCTGCCTTTCAATTGGTATATTCAATCCATTTAGATCTAGAGATGTTAGTGATATGTAAGGACTTACAGAAGCCATCTTATTGTGTTCTGGTTGTTTCGCATTTGCATTATTTCTTTTCCCTCCATGTAAGCCTGTCTTTGTAAGTTGTTGTCTTTCCGTGGTGGTATGCTCTGTTTCCGTTTTCTTTATCTTCTGTGCATCTACTCTAGGTTTTGGCTTTGTGGTTACATAAGACATCTCATGGATTAAACTTAAGCTGAGAGCAATTTAAGTTCAATCATCTATGAAAGCTTTACCCTTTTATATCTTTGATGTCATTATTTACCTCTTTATATTATGTGTTTAGCAAATTATAGTAGCTGTGACTATTTTTAATGCTCTTTTCCTTTGAAATCTGTATTGTAGTTAAGTGGGTAACACACATCCTATTACAGAATTTGGGGTTTCTGTTTATTTACCTTTACCAGTGTGTTGCATACTTTCATATGTTTCCATGTCACTGATTAGCATCTGTGCATTTCAGCTTGAATGTCTTGAAAGGCAGGTCTAGTGGTGATGAATTGTCTCAGCTTTTGTTTTTCTAGGAAGGTTATTTCTCTTTGATAGCCAAAGGATAATTTTGCCGGATATAGTATACTTGCTGGCATTTTTTCTTTCAACACTTGGAATATCTAACTCCACTCTCTCCTGGTCTGCAGGGTTTCTGCCGAGTTCCAATGACAGCTCAACTGGGATGCCTTGTAGGTTATAATATGTTTCCCCAGGTTCCTCTTAGGGTTCTTTCATCTTAAATTTTGACAGTTTCATTACAATATGTTTTGGACAAGCTTTCTGTGCATTGATATAATAGGGTGTTCAATTCACTTCCCAAGTTGGGTTAGTTCTTTCTAGAAGACGACAAAGGGATATATTCTATTCCTTGTTGTTTTGATGAAATACCACAGGCCATGTAGGCTTTCTTCACTCTTATTATCTTTTCTTTGTTCTCCTCTAGTAGGTTAATTCACAGTTCCTGTCCTCTAACTCAATCTGTGCTCTACCCTTCTATATATGCTATTGCATTTTTTCCTTTCATTCACTGAGTTCTTCGGCTACATAACTTCTACTTGGTTCTTTTTCATTATTTCATTGAATTGTCTTTGAGCTTTCTTGTAGTTCCTTGAGTTTCTTCAAAACAGGGATTTTGAATCTTTATCAGCAAGATCACAAAATGCTGTGCCTTTGAACTGAGATGGTAGAGGATTATTACCTTTCAGTGGTGAGATTTCCTTGATTTTGAATGATGTTTGTAGTTTTGCATTGCTGCCTTCTCATTGGTAGCAGACACCGCCTTGAATATTCTGTTCATTGGTGCTGGTTTAGGGGGGTTTTTGACTTTGTATGTTACTCTGGTCTTGCTCCCTCTTGTGGCCTAATTCTTAAGCTTTTATGCCTCTGGTTCTTACCACTCACCAGACTGCTGGCAAGAAACCTCTTTTGTTTCTATAGGTGGTGCTATAGCTCAAGTTTGTGGTTTCTCTCTTCCCCACCAGTGGTTCTCAACCTTCCTAATGCCGCAACCCTTTAATACAGTTCCTCATGTTGTGGTGACCCCAACCATAAAATTATTTTCGTTGCTACTTCATAACTGTAATTTTGCTACTATTATGAATCGTAATGTAAATATCTGATATGCAGGATGTATTTTCATTGTTCGCGACCCTCAGGTTGAGAACCGCTGCGACCCTGGCCAGTTTTCTGAGGGCCCTCCCTACTGGATCTTGTTCTTGCCTCCACACTTAGAAGTGGACACAGAGTGGGGGGAAGTGTGGACTTAAAGCATCAGGTGCGCCTGCAGAAACAAAGGGATCCCCCAGGTGTGGTGCTCCCAGAGGTTCCTTGGTAGACTTTCTGCTGAGCAGTCAGCAGGAGCCTTGTCCCAGTAATGCCTTTCGATGCTTCTTTCCCAGTCTCCTTCCTCCTCCTAGTCATGGAGTTCTCTCCTCAGAGAAAGTGGCTTCTCCAGCGCTCCACTGGGCAGCTATGGGAGGTGCCGCCGCCACCACTGATAGTTCATCCAGTGCATTGTGGCTGGGGGTTTGCTGGTAAAGTTCTTGCTGTCTCTGCTGCATTTAAATTCCTTTGATTTTTGCTCTGATGGCATGCTGGCATTTCCCCTGGGGAAGGCTAGATAGACCTCTGCAGTTCCTCTCTTAGGTATCTGCCCAAGCCAGCACTCTCCAAGTTCACTGCTCTGCTGGGTGTACAGGTGGCAGGACGCTTCCGCGTCCTGGGCATAGTGCTGCATCCCACAGCTGTTTGTTGAATTGTGGGGGACAAACAGGGTGAACCATCTTATGCCACTGTTGCTCCTGATGGTATCTTTTGATCCTTTTTTACTTGGTCACATCTAGGAGGCCTTCAGCTCCTAAGCACAGCCTCCAGGAGCAGAGAGCAGGGTGAGCTGGGTTTGCAAAGGGATCCACAAGTGAAGGCTGGCATCGCCATGTTACTATCGTGTCTTATTGAGGCAGCACCAGCCAGACTGAAGCAGGTTAACTCGCCTGTGCTGCGTGGAGGTCGGGGGTTTTGAATGAAGCCCTGGCTCCTTTATAATCACTGCAGGACACTTTCCAGTGTTCACACCTATCATGGCATGGGAACACCTGGAATATGTAACTACTGACCATTTCTCTTCCTGTGACAGTATTGAGTCGAAGTTCTGTATCTGCCCCTAACCCCATCTTATAGCTGCCTAAAATTCTGATCTTTGAAAACAAAGCTTCAAACCTCCCCCCAAGGCTTATTTCAAGCAAAAAAACTTGATCCTAATGAGCTGAAAGCTCTGGAGTCAGCAGATAACTTGGGAGAAGGGAGCACACTATTGAAAACAGGCAGGACCTGCTTCATGGAGGCAGTTATCCGCCAGGTGCTCGCCCCCGCCCAGTGGTTCTGTAACCTTAGAGCAGCAGCGCCAGGCCCACCTGTAGGGCACCAAGAGCCCAAGCGTGGGCGACCGCTCAGGGGAGAGCCTGGGAGAAAGGCACTGGTAGAGGCCACCAAAGGCCCTCGGTCTCACTCTGACCTTGCCGGCTCATCTGCCTCTGGCAGCTGTGGCCCAGCGGACGGAGAAATGCTGAGCATCGAGCTAAACTTCTGTGATCCCAGCAGATGCATTTTGTACAGAATGAAAAGTCACTGCACAAGACTTTCTCTTTTTCCTAATAATGCAGGATTCTTAATACTGATTGTAATTAGGGTTCCTGCCGCTCCATCTAGGCTGGTGTCACCAGGAAAGGCCAGTGGGAATCAATAGCGAGACGGCTGGCCTGTTTGTCTCACTGCAGTTAAGGCGTTCGTGCTGACAGGCGGCAGGGCAGAGCTTCTGTCCTTGTAGCCGTGACGTTCCTTGGACCCCAGTCCCTCTAACTGCAGGGGTGGGGTGCACACAACCGCACATTAAAACCCAACATAAACAAGTCGAAGGGCATCGGACTGACGGGAAAAGATGGAAGGGGGTCGCTTCATAGATCGAGTTCTGCATTCTTTACTCAGGCTGCTAAAATGAAGATGCCCAATTACATTAGCCAGGTTTTGTTTTTGTTCATTGATTAAGACCGGCAACAGGCTGCTCTGAAAAAAAATACTGGGCACTTACAGTCAGAGAAAGGCAGGAGCCAGAGCTAGCAGGAGGGCCTCTCCCAGGTGCTGTGTGGCTGCATCAGTACTTCCTGTCTTCAAGGAGCTTGCAGGCCACTTGAGGAGCTACAAATGTGCAAAGTTACACCAGTAGGAGGTGGAAACCACAGGATAGAAGAGGAGGGGTGTCACCTGGCTCTAATGTCAAGTAAATCACAAAGACAAAACATGGCATCTGTGAGTTCAGAGGAGAGCAAGGGTCCTCAGGCCAAGGTTCCAGGTCTCCGGGGGTGGGAGGTGACTGCAGGGAGTGGGGTTCCATGAAAGGAAGAGCCTGGGAAACCTGCAGAAAAAGCCAAAACTCCTATCATTTGAAGAGACACTTTGGGAAAATCATTCCATGCATTCCATGCTAATTGAGTGTCCAAGAAAACTTCTGGACTATCCCTGCAGGGCTGTGCGTGCCATGGACCTGGAGTGATTCAATTCTAAAGGCCTGTGAGAAGTCTGGCTTTCCCCCCACGACACACACCAGACTGGGCGAGGCCCGAGGCTCCCTGCTCTGCCCTGGTGGTTTGGGGTGTAAGTAGAAACTACCTGTGGTGGTTTAGTGACGCACAGCCACCTTGCAGGGTCTGACTACAACCTGGCCTCACTCTGCCAACTCTCTGATCTTGGGAGAGTGTGCAGTGATGACATGTGCATTGTACCTGTTTGGTTTTCTGGCTCCTCCGGGCAGGGGCCCACCTGCTGTGTTCCTCTGCATGCGCCGCTCATTGCTCCAGGGTGACACCTAGGAGATAGCGTGAAGGTTAGACACTGTGCCTGCCGTGACACAGCAGTCATTCTGGCTGGTCAATGTCCCTGCCACCCAGTTCTCAGGGCCTAGTTCCCCCTCCTCACGCTCTGACCTCCTGCAGCCACACCTTCCAGGAGGGCTGGAGACCTTGTACTGTAGCACCCCCAGCATCTGCAGAGGGTCAGGAATGTTCTCACCCAGTGACTGGGAGCACATGCCTTTGATTGTCACAGGTGATTCCTGACCTGCAAGGGTCTTCAGCCTTGTCCCAGGGCCCGGTGGTCATCCAAAGCAGCCACCCTGAGAGCGTGTGGTGGTGACGGCCGTCTCCCCCGGGTGTGCACAGGGCCTGATGCCTCGCCTGGAGCTGCCCAGGCCACCCCTCCCTCTGCACTCACTGTAAACAGAGGTGGGCAGAAATGGCAGCCCCGGGGTCAGGTGCATGGTTAGGGAGTAGTGACCGGGGCCCTTGTCCCCAGCCAACCTGCGAGGACAAACAGCCGAGCCTCAGGCCTGTCCCTTCTGGGTTCCTCAGCATCTCCTAGGTGATGCTCGGTGCTGGGAATGCAGGTGTCACGGTCAGGGACAGAGGCGCTGAGAAGGCCGGGCCCTGTCCCCATTAGCAGTCGCAGGGGCGCTCTGTGCACACTGCCTCGTGGTGAGCACTGATTTATTCTGCCTGCGTCTGAGTGTGTGTGATCGGTACTGCTCTGGCCTGTTTCAGATGTCAGTAGGTCTGTGCAGAGCTTCCCCTGTTCCAAACCCCCGAGGGACCCCCCACTGAAAGGTGTGGCACCATGTGGGAAGAGTGAGGCCATGGGTGGCTTTTAGCTCTCACAACCACTGGCCCGCCACCTAAATTAGGAAACTCGCCATCCCGATTCTATTTTAAGAATCTTTTTTCTGGAAAAGCAGAAAACAAAGCCCTCCTGCCCTTCACTTTATAGAAGGGGGACCAAGTTCCATAAAGATGACTCAGCAGGTTTGGTAAACTGTCCATAGAGGAAAATGATGGAAGGAGCTTGGGACCAGTAGGAGGGCAGCATGAAAGAGGCTCCGCCCTAGCAGAGCATCCTGGCCTCGTGATTGAGAGTAGGCACCCTAGAAAGCAGGTGCTCTCCTCACCCTCATTTTACAGATCTGGAAACTGGCACCACATTCACAAAGCAAGCATGTGCGTGAACTTGCCCTGAGCGGACGGGGATGGAGGCTGGTGCTGTTTCTCAGCTTCTCTGGTCCCCACGCCCAGTGGCTGCAGAACACGTACCAAATGTCACAGTGTTTGGAACCTGCCTAGGGAACAGCACTCTGCAGCCACCAACAGAGCCGGTATCTTTCCGAATGAGATTTTCTTGATTTCTGGTTTGTAATGAAGGCCTTTGCCACACAGTTATTTACTATCCCACGCAATGAAAGCTCGCCATTCGAGTTTAAAAAAACCTGAGGGAAAATGACAGATGTGTTTTCATAAGAATCGCTTTTCTGACGGATTATTATTGCCTGCTTTACCACAGAGGGAAATGACCAAAAGTCTAGTTAACTAAAAAAAATCAGAATGTGTATATTGTGATGTGAAATGATATTCCTAGTAAATAGAAGAGCAACCGAGAATGCTGTACTGCATTTGTGGTTATTGTTTCCTTACCTCACAAAAGTGGTTCAGATCCAGGAGGCTGAGAAGGTCCTTGGGTGACAGAGGAGGGAAATGGCTGGATGGGCGAGGGGACTCAGAGTTGTCCTTGATGCTTTTACTCGTCTCTTAAAATCCCCCTGCAGTGGAGCATGGATGACAGTGGAAGGCTGCATGGAGATGCAGTAGATGCCCTCACACTGCACAGCTGTGAGAAAGAGAGAATTCCTCCATTTGTGACAATATGGATGGACCGTGAGGGCAGGCATTATACTAAGTGAGATAATCCAGAGGGAGAAAGACAAATACTGTATAATCTCACTTTCCTGTAAAATCTAAAAAAGCCAAACTCATAGAAACAGAGTAGGACAGTGGTTACCAGGGGCTGGGGGAAATGTTGGTCAAAGCGGACAAATTTCTAGTCATCAGAGGAGTACGTTCTGGGGATCTAATGTACAGCATGGTGATTATAGCTAATCATACAGTATATCTTAAGTACTTACACCACAAAAGAAATGGTAATTATGTGACATGATGCAGGTGTTAGCTAATCATTTTGCAATATATAAGTGTATCACATCAACCCATGGTACAGCTTAAACTTGTATAATGTTCTATGCCAAGTATAACACTGCAGATCTCAAAAGCTGGGGGAAATGAAAAAAGTAACTGAGAAGTCTGAGTCTGCCACCAGCTAAGGGCAAAAAGCCTGAAGGAGGGAGGCCTGGGGGTGGGGGAGTAGGGGAAGGATGAGAGGAGCTCTGCCTTGTCCCTCACTGTCCTGGGCACCTGCCCCTCCAACCCCAGCCCACCTTACAGTCTTGGGATGGCCCATCACCCAAGGATACATGCTCATGCTCGCCCCACCCAATTCACACGTAAGAATCTGAGGACAGCAATTCAGTGATCCAGCCACTATGAACTTGGTTACTGACCCTGTTGCCACTGATAGATTTAATCCTGAGCAGTTACACAGCTCTTGGCTGAATTTGTTTTGCATGAAGGCATATTACGTGCCCGGTGACATGAGCACCCTCCTTCCTCCCCCAGGGCAGGTGACTTACTAAATTCATCAGGCAGCATCACAGACAGGATTTCCTGGCTGGATTTCTGAACGTTGCTCTGAGAATTTACACAAGTTGTAAATGCAGAGCGCTGCAGGGACAGGGATGGAAATCTGACCTCTGTGTCACGTCCCCTCTCTGTCTGTGTTGCAGCTGGTGAGTGACTTGCTGGAATTTTGCTTCTATACCTTCCGAGAGTCCCAGGCCCTGAAGGTGGAGTTCCCCGCGATGCTGGTGGAGATCATCAGCGACCAGTTGCCGAAGGTGGAATCCGGGAACGCCAAGCCGCTTTACTTTCACAGGAAGTGACGGACTCATCGTAGCAGAAGAACTTTGCCTTAAGTTCCCCTGTGTTGTTCCACACCCATGAAGGACCCAAGAAATCATATTTTTAGCAGGTGATGGTTGAGTCATACTCGTTCAGCAGTTTCTGGAGTTTAAGGTCATGTTAAAGGTTTGGGGCCGGGTTAGAAGTTAGACGTGGATTTGGCAAGACCCGAACAGTCTAAACTCTAAAGGACTCTCCCCTCTCCAGTCCCCAGCGCTTAGAAACACGTTCCTCTGGATGAAAAGCCATATCTAGTCAATAACTCTCTGATTTTGATACTTTAACAGATGGAAGTTTTAACTATGCCATGTAGTTTCTGGTATCAGCCGCTTGTTTTAAAAGGGTTCAAGGACTAATGAACTTTTTAAAGCTTACCCTTGGTTTGCACATAAAACGTATAGGCTATATGGGGCATTAATATTCTTTTGTTATTTAAAAAAACAACAAAAAAGAAAAAACCTATACAGACTCCCGTTGTGTAATAACAGAGCACGCAGCGTGGGAGAGCGCCCCCCTCTGGCTCGCACTCGCCCATGTTCCTCCGCATCACTGGCGTTCCTCCCCCTTCAGCGTCCATTGGTTAATTAGAATGGATAAGATGTTAAAAACAAATGCCTCGGTTTCAGTTTCTAGTATCTATTGTGTTGGCTTTACAGATAATTTTTTGCAGTCTTTTGCTGTGCTGTACATTACTGTATGTATAAATTGTGAAGGACCTGAGTTATATATGGTATAAGGAACTTTTGTAAATGAGAAAAAAAAAAGATACAAAAAAAACTTCAATGGTTAATAGGAAGAATGGGAAAGTATTTTTGAAAGAATTCTATTTTGCTGGAGACTATTTAAGTACTATCTTTGTCTAAACAAGGTAAAAATTTCTTTTTGTAAAGTGAGATGCTCTGCATGCCTAATGAACCGTTTACAGTGTATTTAAGAAAGGGAGAGCTGTGCCTTTTTTAGCTTCACATCTGATTTACCATTTCCCAGTCTCTGTTGTAAATAGCCACACTGAGACCTCTTCGGTTGTCCTTAAGCCTTTCTACTTTGTCTGCCTTTGTTTTGTCTTTGGTCTCCCGCGGGGGTGCTCGTGGGGCGTGAGCATGTTTTCCGGCAACGGGCAGTGGTGTCCGGAGGGCCTTGAAGGCGTCACTTGAGGACACACGTGGGAGCCGGTCCGGAGCGAGGCTTTAGCACCGCCGCCCCCGATCCTCGGTCCTCAGGCAGCAGAACCAGCCGCAGGCGAGGAGAGCCCGTGGAAAGCAAGAGCTCGGCAAGCATAGTCCCATCCCATTTTAGAGATATGCATCTTCCCCCGTGGGGATGAGAATCCCATGCCCTCGCTACACCTGTGAAAGGTGACATGTTCACGACTGGTCTTGGGAAGGGGGTTCGCACTCCTGGCACCGGTCATGGGAACACGCAGGTTTTGCAGGACACACTGAGAAGATGCACGCGGGCACGGTCAGAGCAGCGTGGAGACCGCATCATCATTAGAGGGTTTTTAGATTTTTAAAAGGTAGGTTTTAACAATAAATTTTATACATAAACAGTTTTGGGGGGGAAACTACAGATCATATAAGCAAGACAGTGGCACTAAAATTTGTAATTCATTCATCTGTTTGGCACTGATGCAGTTTACCGGCTTTTCTCTTGCCCCAAATCACAAACATCTCTTTGGGGACACTTAGCAATATGATTGCACTAAATAAGCTACTTTGAATAGAGGCCAAATCAATCTTTAAAAGTGATGATAATCATCAGGTACTCAGTGAAATCACATTATTTTCCAAAACCTACAAGCGGTAGCTGGAGAAGCCCACAGCCAGGAGAAGGCAGCGTCGGATCCACACTTTTCTCCAGGGTTCACTGTGCAGGCAACATTACCTTGTCTTTCCAAAGACACCTGCCTTATGCAAGGGGAAGCCTGTGAAAGTGCACTCGGAGGGAGTTTTTCTTACATAATTTGCAATTTCGGGAATTTAATTTATAGGCAGATCTTTAAATACAGCCAACTTACTTACATGCACAGCAATATGAACGCCACACTTGGAAGAGGATAGATGCACAGCATGCAGACTTGGAGTTTCCAGAAAAGCAACGGCTTACGAGAGCAGCTTTCAGCTCAGACTTACTTTTTACGCAGTCAGAATTTCGACGTAACCGGGTTTCTGATGGAGGTGGTCTGCATTGGCTTCTCGTATTAATGATGGTCCTGGTTGTTTGTGTGTCTCCGGGTAACTTTGCTTGGTTCAACAGCAAAGCCATATTCTAAATTCACTGCTGAATGCCTGTCCCGATCCAAATGGTCTGTCTGCTCTTATTTTTGTACCATATTGCTCTTAAGAATCTCGGTTTGGTACAATTCATAATTCACCAGAACTTCTTCATATAATTAAAAAGAAAACACACTAAATTAGTTTAAAATGAAGCAATTTATATCTTTATGCAAAAACATATGTCTGTCTTTGCAAAGGACTGTAAGCAGATTACAATAAATCCTTTACTTTAATCACCTGTTGTTTGGGAAACAGTTCATTTGAATGTCTGTAGGAACACCTGGATTTTGTGTCCTCCTAAACCTTGATTACATGTGCTTCTGCCTACATCCAACATGGAGTATCAGGTTTTTGGTTTTTACCCACCATGTTAGAGACCTGTGTTAGCCACATGTTAATTATACTCTTTGGGGACTGGTTAGATGCCTTGTTTCTTAATATTTGGCCCACTAAAATACCCTATAAAAGTATGATAACTGCTAGCCACTGTATCTGCACATTGCCTCGTTTATCTTGACAACTACATGTAAGCCTGTTCATTCTAGAGACTCACATGAGTAGACCAGATGCCCCATCTGACTCAGATGTCTTCCTCTAGTCGTCCTGGGCTGTCAAGAGGCTCAGGTCCCCACCAGCCATGATGTTTCTCACACTCCTTACAGACTCCCTCAATTCTGCTGATTAATATGAAACAGAAAAGAGCAGTAAGCAATTACCAGCTCCTTTTAAAACTAGAAAACATTTTCTTCCCCACAAGATAAATTCAAGCATAGCCATGCTCGGCTTAATGATGGGGATACGTCTGAGAACTGCATTATCATGCAGTGTCATTATTGTGGGGCATAATAGCACTCACACAGACCTAGACACTGTAGCCTACTACACACCCAAGCCTATCGCTCCTGGGCTACAAACCTGTACAGCATGTTACTGTACTGAATACTATGGATAATTGCAACATAGTGTTAAGTATTTGTGTATCTAAACATAGAAAGGGTGCAGTAAAAATACCGTCGAAAAGTTGAAGAAAATATTACATTCATACAGGCCACTTACCATGAATGGAGCTTGCAGGACTGGATGATGCTCTGGGTGGTGAGGGAATGGGAAGGTCTTTGATGTTACTGTATATGCTGTAGATTTTATAAACGCTGTACACTGAAGTTACACTAACTTTATAAAACCTGAGGTTAAATCAAGCATAAGAGAAAATGGTGCAATCAAGAGAGAACAGTAAACACGAGATATGTAACAGCATGCTGTTTTACAGCAAACAATTTATATGTAGAAAGAGTACACTCTCCAATAATGATAAAAATTAAAGTAAATGCATCAACCGGTAAGAAAGACATTTATTGTCAAGTAGCATGTACTGTACATAACCGCCAGTGCTGCTCTGTTACACTACTGACAGGTTTGTGTACACCAGCATCACCACAAGCAAGTGAATAATGCATTACACAATAATGTTACCATGGCTACGATGTCACTGGTGGTAGGAATTTTTCAGCTCCATTATAATTGTAGAAACCACGGTCATTTATGTGGTCTGCCATTGACCAAGAGGTCATGTAACTGGTCATCATTCAAACCATTTGCTTTGAGAAAGATTAGACTATTTGAGAGTTAAATAAATTCAACTTCACTTAAACACAGTAGATATTTTTCTGTAACACCTCACAATCATTAAACACAACACTAGAAAAAATTCATTTAAAAGACTAAAGTATATACAAACTTGTAAAGTATCTATAATTGAAGGTAATTTTATATATTAAAATTTATGGAACTTGACATATTAAGGAGTAGGGCTTTTCACAGAGAACCCATAACTTTAAACAAAAGCCATCTTAGGCTGTGAGCCCACCAAGGCTAGCAAGAGGCCACACCAGTTGGCACCCATGAAAAGAGTGGGTGCCCTTTCTGAATAAAGCAGGCTCAGTCTTAGGTCAAGTATGACCATATTTCTAAGAATTTCTAAGAGTGCTCTCAGGCCCAGAGAATCCAGCTGCACATCTAGGAATCAGCTAAGAACTAAGACCGCCCCTGTGACAGCCACCACTGTGGGCCAGAGCAGTGGGAATCTGCATCATGATGCATGTGTAGTTAGGGGCTGGTTTGCTCTCCTATGTTGAATACCCCTCAGGCAAGTAGACAACAGTGTCCTTTTATGTTAAAGTCAGGTCTAACATACTTCTTGATAAACCACAAGTGTACACAGACCAAAAGGACTTCATTATAAGTATCTCTGACAATTTAATTTCAAGTCATCCAATTGCCAATGCTGCATTTTTCTTGGAAATAAAACAGTGGCTTCCCAAACTGGGTAAGAGGAGATTAAGATATGATCTGAATGATCAGCATGGATCAAGACTGTACCGGACGCAAAGTAAACCATGGGGCAGAGTAGCAGGTAGTTAGCTGCAACCCCCCCCCCACCCCACACACACACACACACTCACGAATAATTAGTGGTTTACATCAATCACCATGGATGATTTCTCATGACTTTGAGTCAGCCAGGAGGGTTCTGCTGATGTGGGCCAGGCGGGGCTGAGTCAGGCTCATTTATGGACCTTGGGCAGCCAGCCTCTCCTGTGGGTCTAGGACGGT